GGACATGAACAGACACTTATCAAAGAAAAGATACATGCATCCAACAATCTTATGAAGAAAAACTCAACATCATAGATCATTAGAGAAATGCAAAACCAAATTACAATGAGATACTATCTCACACCAGTGATGTCGGTTATTATTAAAACATCAAGAAAATAAAAACACAGATGCTGGAAATGTTATGGAGAAAAAGAATGCTTATACACTACTGGTAAGAGTGTAAATTAGTTCAGCCATTATGGAAGACAGTGTGGCAATTGCTCAAATGGAACCCCACAATCTCATTACTGGCTATACACTCAAAGGAATATAAATCATTTTATTATGAAGATACATGCACACATATGTTCATTGTAGCACTATTCACAATAGCAAAGACATTGAATCAACATAAATGGCCATCAACGATAGACTGAATAAAGAATATATGGTACATATTCACCGTGGACTGCTATTCAGTCATATAAACAAGATCATGTCCTTTGCAGGGACATGGACAGAGTTGGAGACCATTATCTTTAGCAAACTAACTCAGAAACAAAAAACTAAATATTACATTCTCACTTAAAAGTGGAGCTGCATGATGAGAACACATAGGCACATAGAGGGGAACAACACACACTGGGGCCATTCGGAGAGTGGAGGGTAGAAGGAGGGAAAGGATCAAAAATGTAACTAATGGGTACTAGGCTTAATACATTGGTGATGAAATAATTTGTGCAACAAAACCCTATGGCACAGTTTACCTATGTAACAAAAATGTACTTACACCCTTGAACTTAAAATCAAAGTTAAAAAAATTAAGAAGTTGTACGTATCACTTGAAGTATTGCACTAAATTTAACAGAAAATCTTTGAGTGGATATTTATTATAAATTTAAAAGCTTAGGCCAAGCACAGTGGCTCATGTCTGTAATCTCAGCACTTTGGGAGGCCGAAATGGGTGGAATGCCTGAGGTCACGAGTTCAAGATCAGCCTGGCCAACATAGTGAAAACCCATCTCTACTAAAAATACAAAAATTAGCTGGGCATGATGGTGGGTGCCTGTAATTCCAGCTACTCGGCAGTCAGGTGGAGAATCGCTTGAATCCAGGAGATGGAGGTTGCAATGAGCCAAGATTGCACCACTGCACTTCAGCCTGGGTGACAAAACAAGACTCCAAGACTATGTCTCAAAAAAAGAAAAAGAAAAAAAAAAGCTTAAATGGCCTAAAAACACCTTTGGAACATTATATAGAGACATGAGGCAGTTATTAGGCTTAAACGATGGGAGTTTAATGATTTTCTCATACATTTAATGTACAATATTTAGATTAAAAAAATAAAACAAATACTCCACCTCAGATGTTTTCACTGCATAAGCATGTCTATTAACAATAGGTATTATGATATAATTGTATAATATTTCAACATGATCCTGACTTAAGTTTGACTCAGGTCAAAAAGGTAGCTTCTGAATCTAGGTCTACACACTGTGTCATCCGCAGAGAAAAGCTGGCTAGCAGAAAAATGTCAGCTGAACTTCACAGTGTTTTGCAGGACGTGATGAAAATTAACAACCACATTAAAGTACCCGCCGTTAACCTCTGTTTGAGCAGCTCCGTGAGGAGACGGATGCAGAGTGCAGACGTCTTCTCTTATGCACAGAATTGAGATGGCTTTTTGAAGGCACACTGGCCAGAATTTTTGAGTTACAAGAGTCGCTCCAGATTTTTCTTTTAGAAAAACAATCACCAACAACAGTACATTTTAATGACACAGAACGGGTCACAAAACTTGCTTACTTGTATGACATATTCAACCTGCTCAATGAATTCAATCTGTCATTTCAGAGGAGAATGACAACTGTGTTAAAGTCAGCAGATAAAGTGGCTGCATTCAAAGCTAAACTGGAATTATGATAGTATGAATGAACATTGGGATTTCTGACATGTTTCAAACATCAGCAAAGATTTTGAAAGAGAATGGGTCAGGGCCTTCTTTCCTTCAGGTGGTACATGATCACCTATCTTAGCTTTCAGAAGAGTTTCAGCATTACCTATCAACCACAAAAGACCCCCAAACTAGGAATGAATGGATCTGTGACCCATTTGTGAATAAGACAGGTGAACTGACTTCTTCTGTGCTGTAACAGGATCAACTGCTTGAGATCACAAATGACACTGGCCTTAAAAGTATGTATGAGACAATTTCAGTCTCTCTACATTCTGGATTAAAGTCAAGGTGGGATATCTTGAAGTTGTCACAAAAGTACTGAAAAGTCTGCTTCCATTTCCAGCATCCTGTCTTATAAAGCATGGTTTTCTGCAGCGATAGCAAGCAAAACAGAATAATGGAGTAGACTGGACATAAGCAAGACACTTCAAGGATCACTGTCTCTCATCAGCCACAGATAGGGACCATCTAGTTCCAGGAAAACAAGCTCAGGGAGCCCACAGATTCTACATTACGGCGAGTTGTATAATTATTTCATTATATAATCATAATATAATCATAACAGAATTAAAGTGCACAATAAATGTATTTTTCTTGAGTCATCCCCAAACCATCCCCCACCCTTGAGTCCATGGAAAAACTGTCTTCCCTGAAGCTGGTGCCTGGTGCCAAAAAGAAGGGTACCACTGCTTAAACTACACCCAGGTTACATACAACACTTCGTATGAGTAAAAACTGAGTGATTTAATTTCTCCCCTTTATAAAGGGTCATGACTGACACTGCTACAACAAAAGACAGGACAACAAGAGAAAAAAATAAATACATTACTATTGTATATACAAAAGTGCATGGAAATTATACAAATTATGATATCAAAGATGGGCCAGATTATTGAGGCTTAAATGCCTTATCTACAGAAGAAGAAGAGTGGGGGAATGAACCAGCCCATTGTTCAGACTCTAAGCGTCACTGGAACAAAAGTTGTCTTACTATGCAGATAAAGTCTCTTAGGTAATCTATTGCAGCTGCTCTCAGAAGACAGATTAAAAAGTTTATCTAGGTGTGGCGGAGACCCCCAGTCTCTTATGTTCTTCAGTAGTTTATCTTTCCTGGTTATTTGGTTAGATTCTTAGAGAGGGTGGCTTAAAATAATTGGATTTCTTTCTAAAAGACATTTTCTTAGACAAGAAAATTCTAGAGAGAGCTTCTCCTAGTGCTTTCAGAAAGGATCAGAAAGACAGGGATGCAGAGGAAAGGTCATAGAGAGACCATGGTCCTAAGGTTTATAGCTGAGCTATTGCAATTTTCAAAGCACTTAGCATGTCACTGCATCATATTTTGGGAAATTGCTGACTTGGAAAAACAATCCATGTCATATACGTTTATACCAAACTGAATATTTTTCTAACACTTCTACCACCTGTTTTACCACTGAGGCAGATCTTTTGAGGACCTACTTCGAAAAGGCATTTTATTCATTCATGCAATGCCCTACAGGGCTTAATGCTTATGAACCCACTTCTTGTAAGTCGGCCTAGAAGTTCTTCATAAATTCAGCCCCCAGACCAGGTTATCAATTCTCTCCTAGTGACTTAGATCTGTTTTAAAGAACACTGATCATTTATGTACCTGGATTGCCCAGTGAACAACCACACAAACAGCAGTACTTCAAACATTCTGGGAGAACAATGCTAGAAACGTTTGTCTTTTCTTAAGAGAGCACATTATCAACAGTGTATCATATACAAACAGGAAAAATCATAATAATATGGAATATTATTTGTCTATGTAATCATTTGAAATATTTGAGTGGTTTGAGTATTTTAAGTTCAGCTAATACAAAGGTAAACACCAATTTAAAATACGTTAAAATTCAACACTTAGAGCATTTCAAGTTCTTGGGTGATCATTACTTTGTCTATATGACATATAAAATACTGAAAATGTCTTACCAGTTCCATACTTAATTGCTATAATTACGTCATTTAAATTTACCTATTATTACTCAAGCTCAGAGCACTGTAATAAAAACTTCAACTGTCAATGCAATTTTAAAGTATTTTTTTTTTATTTAAACTTAAGGGGGAAAAATCAACAATTGTTTTCAAGGAGATATTTGAATGGTGTCACCCACTATTTATTTCTTTGAAATGATCACAAAGTAAGAAAAAACAGAGTCTAGCAGGAAAATATTGACTTGAAAGAGGCTTTAAGTACTCGGTTTCTATTTTTGGACTTCAGTAGCTGAATTCTAATGTTTTTAAAATCAGTGTAGACCCTTCTTGAATATTCTCCAGAACTGCCCCCAGACCTTTACTATATAAGATTTTTTTCAGAAGCATCAGACCACTACCTATTCTTGAAAATGCCTGGTTTGCTTTGCTGCATAAAATAGACGGTTTTGCTTGCTATACACTTGAGGCAGCAAAATTTCACTACTGAATTATTTCTTCTATTGAATCAAAGGCAATCTTGAGCTGCTAGGAACAATTTCAGTATGTGAAGGCATTTTGAAATACATAAAGCATTTTCTAAATGTTATTGTTAATCATTATAATTCTAAAGTCTCTTCTGAAGCCAAAAAGACACAGACACCTAGATGTCATTTGTAATTTAATTGAATACCAAGTTGCATTTTATTTTTCCTGTTCAAAATGGGATATTATTTAGTTTCTCAAACTGAATCATATGAAGATGGGAAATGAGAAAATAATTTAGAAAAAACTCCCCAAATATTATAATTAGTCCATTTTAGCAATGCTTTCAAATATAATTGCAATAATCATCAAAATAGCACTTTAGTGGTTTTCTAGAATGAGTTTTACAGATTATAATATTGAGATATTCAAAACACAGATATTTATGTTTCCAACCATCCAATAGTCTCCCAGGTAGTGTAGAAGGGAAAGAACCTAGATGACATGTTTTCTGCCATGAAAGAATACACTTTTTGAGAAAATAGGGCAAATATAAAATAGTTTATAAATGACAAATGGAAATATACATCAAATTTTGTTACTTACCTTCAAAGTGGTTCAGGCTATGTCACAAAGAACTTACCAGACAGATGTGGTATTTCTGCAAGAGAAGTGAATCTTTCTTAGATGGAGGGTATTTTGATCAAGGAAGAAGAATATTCCAAGAGCTCCATCTCTCTTGCCATGAAGGATAAGGACCTCTTGCCTGTGGATGATACTTATTTTAGAATAATCGTTTCTTTCACACACAGCAAAAACTGACCTAAAGACATCCTTTACTGAAAGACAGATTGTCATTGATTGCCTAATTATCTTCATTTACTGGCTTGTGACATTTCACTTCGTAAAGCTACTGTATTAGTCCATTCTCAGGCTGCTATGAAGGAATACCCAAGACTGGGTAGTTTATAAAGAAAAGAGTTTTAACTGACTCACAGTTTCACATGGCTTTCACTAGGACTTTATACCTTTTCCTTAATTTGTTGACACATACATGGTAAATTGCATTTAGGCTTATCCTGTTTTGAAATGATGATAGTCATCTTTCTCACTGCTATTTTCATGTTGCTTTCTAGAAAACAGCATTTCATTCCAAAATAACTAGGATCTGCATTTAGAACAAGAATCATTATTTGCCCCAACCTTTTCAGTCCTAAAGAGAAGCATCTGTGGTTCTTTTGTACTTGCAATAGATGTAACCTAAAAAGTTTTGGGGTATTTAGGTCAGCCTAGCGGATTTTTTTTTTTTTTTTTCATTTAAATGGAGCTGTATAACGGAGATTCCGTGTCTGCAAAACTCCTGAGAGCATTGAAAAAGTAACAAGCTATTCCTTGTTTTGGATACAGAAAATCATTTAAAGTATTTTCTTAGTCATTAAAATTTACTGCAAGTTGTGAGTGGCTTTTTAATTAACCTGACTTTCATTGCACTTCACTCTGCTTGTTTTCAAGGGAAGTAAGATTGGTAACATTTGGGGAGACTATATCCGTCTACTTTGTACGGCTGTTTTGAGGGACTGTCTCATCAGTGAACAAACTGCATGGCCTTGGAGACAGACCCTGGGCTCCTGGCTCAGATGTGTTCATCAAATACTCCTTTCAGAGCTGTTATGGGTGTAAGTGATATGATGTGGCCAAAAATCCAAACCGTGCAGTTGCGTTGTGACAAACATGAAATGTGCTGTAAAAATTCAATACAGTTTAAATAAAATCTCTTTATTAGTGCTGAAAAAAAAGCCTTAGGAAACTTACAGTCATAAGGTACCTCTTCACAGTGCGACGAGAGAAAATGAGTGCCAAATCAAGGGGGAAGCCTCTTACAAAACCATCAGATCTCATGAGAACGAACTCACCATCACAAGAACAGCAGGGAGGAAACCACCCCCAGGATTCAGTTATCTCAACCTGGTCCTGCCCTTGACAAGTGGGGGTTATTACAATTCAAGATGAGATTTGGGTGGGGACACAGAGCCAAACCTTATCAACTACTTTAGCCATTGTGAAAATGCTTATAATTAACACTTTTCTTTATTTCTAGAAAATTGAAAGTCTGTAATAGAAAGTGGAACCATGATTAGAAGTTATACTAATTTTATACTATTGTTTCATTCCATTCTTGCATTGCTATATAGCAATTCCTAACACTAGGTAATTTACAAAGAAAAGATGTTTCATTGGCTTCCAGTTCTGCAGGGTGTACAGGAAGTGTGGTGTCTGCATCTACTCCTGGTGAGGGCCTCAGAAAGTTTCCAATCAGGGCAGAAAATGAAGGGGGAGGAGTGCATTACATGTCTCCAGTGGGAGCAGCTGTGGGGTAGTGGAAGACGCCACACCTTTTTAAACAGCCAGATCTGGCATCAACTCAGAGCAAGAATGAACTTGCTACTGTGAGAAGGGCAACAAGCCACTCATGAGGGATCTGCCCCATAATCCAATACCTTCTACTAGGCCCCACATTCAATATTGGGAATTCCATTTCACCTTGAGATTTGGATGGGACAAACATCCAAATGATATCAATTATGTATGTTTTCAGATAAATCTCAAGTTATTTAGTATTTTTTTTAATATAAAAAAAAGCCTTCACTGTGAGGGGGTAAGGGGAAGGATAACATGTGGAGAAATATCTAATGCAGATGATGGGTTAATAGATGCAGCAAACCACCATGGCACATATATATTTATGTAACAAACCTAAATATTCTGCACATGTATCCCCGAACTTAAAGTATAATAAATAAAGATTATTTTTTTAAAGTCTTAAATTTTTTAGAAATTAGTTCATAAATTTATGAAGAAACTTTTAACCTTAGATGGTTTATTTCTAGGGTGGGGACAAATGAGTCACTAATATGTAAATAATTTAGATCTAAGGTAACTAATTTACTCTTTCTGATGCACCTAAAGAATATGTACATAGATACAGACTATTAAGAGAGTAAGAGAGCAAACAAATAAAAATTTGACTCCTATAACAATAGAAGAATTCTACATTTATATAACATTTTCAAGAGGCCTTTATTATAGATTATAATTCTTTACTAAGCATCCATTTGCCTACAGACATTGCAATTGCATTTATTCTTGAGAATATACACTTCATTACAATATAAAGTCCTATTTTTCTACTTCTGTCATGCATTTGAATTTTCAAGTTTAATATTAATTTGATAGCAGATGATGATAGATATAAACCACAAACTGTAAATTGGTCTGCTCCCTTGTTTGTGTTAAATCCCTCAGATTTGTTTGACTACTTAGTAAGAAACAATCTGATAAACATTTAATCCCACTCTCTTATTTTCTAAAGAGATACATTTTAATCAATTGTAATTTAGTAACATTCCCCACTACATCAAAATCTCTATAAAGGAGAAAAGAGTAACATGCATGTCTTGTTTGCTACTATACTTCTTAACGTTCCTAGAATGTGGTAAATTCTAGATTTGTATCTGTTGATTGGATATTTAGATGTTTGGATGATTTGCCAGAGTTGATGCAAGCCATATAACCTCCAGTCTGTCTTTCAAGGAAGCCAACAGTATCTTTTACTAAATGGAGGCTAGAGGAAAACTGAATGTGAACATGGTTCAATTTATGCCTCTTTCTTAATGGAAATTGGCCAACGTTGCCAATTGTCATTGATTGCTTTAATCCAAGGATACGAATCTGTCTCTTTCTTCTTTAAACTCAAGTCCATTATTAGCATTTACAATTTCATCTCTGTGGGGAACCCCCCATATAGGCACCGAGGAATGAGAGCTAAGCAGAACCCTGACACAGTTAGGGCTTGAGGAATATCTCACTTTATAGTGTTACCATTCAGCTATTTCCTTTTAATCCTTTATATAATCATATGTTAGTTTATAGAATTAGGGCTTGATGAATCCCTTTATATAATCCTCTATATATAATCATATAATAGTTAATAGTATGAGCACCTAAATAATATTTCCCTACATATATACCTATATCTTAGTTCATATCGGAGGAATGCCTAGAGTGGACACAGTACAGAGCATGAATTAAGGAATAAGCAGTTTATAATCAGAGCAATGCCTAAGAGCAGACACAGTGCAGAGCATGACTTAAGGGAAAAACAGTTATGCCAGGACAAGAATCCATGGTCCAGGCGGCAGCGTTCAGATACCCGCTGTATGGCAGGCTTGGGGTGAGAGCCACACCTCCTGATAAAGGAGTTGCAGGACCTTGCTCCAGTTCTTGTGGAAGGCTGCCCTCAGAACGGCAATCCGCCTTGCTGACTGTGAACTTTATCAGTTCTTGCTACTGTGCTGCTTGAAAAGCATCTTCTCATAGAACCCATTGGATGCTGCCAGAAGGTAGCAGTATCCCTGACAGCTCTGTCACTGCTATGTGACTTAAAGCATCCTCCTATAAATCTTCTTAGAAGTAGTTTGACCATAGATTGCAAGTATTGCACACTACGCACGGCCCACCTTCAAACCTCGGTGGCCTAATGGGGATGGACCCCTTACTGCGTACGGCCCTTGCCTTCGTGGGAACGGGCCCCTTGCTGTGCACTGTCAACCTCCTGGCCTAGGTGACCTAATGGGGGTGGACCCCATGTTTTATTGCTCATGACCCTATCGCTATCCTTAAAGATGACTTCACTCACTGCCCTACCCCCTAACCTATACACAATAAATACTCATGCTTCTGGACATTTGGGGCCTCGCCTGACTCTGCTTATAGGTGGTGTGGCCCCCGCAAGCCCAGCTGCGTTTTTCTTGTACTTCTGTGTCCTGTCTCTCTCTATTTCTTGGATCCTGCGCCTCAGCACAGCATAAGTCTCACCCCACAACCCTGTGGGGCCATCAGCCCTACAATCTCCTGTGTCTCTAGGACCAGGCTCAACTACCAGATCTCCTCTCCATCAATTTTGCTGTTTTGCTCCCTTTACTGACTTCATTCTTTTAACCAATAAATATGACTTCATCCCCTCCTTGGAGCCTGCAGTCCCTTCTAGAAAGTTCCCCTTTCTCCCTTTGCATTTAACCTTCTGTGGAGTTGTCTACTTCATGGTGCTTACTTCCCAACGTCTCTTTATTTATTCAAAAAACACTCAAAAGTTTGCCCCCACCACCCATTTGAAGTTATTCTCAAGTGATTCCCAAAATTGCAAAGTTTCAAAATGAAAGAATACTTTTGTGCCCATGTATTATTGCCAATGCTAACAGCAAAACACTCATTGCCCTCTTCAAACTCTCTCTTCTTTTTCAGGTCTCTGGCTAGTTTTCCTCTATTTAAGGGCTTTCATGAATCGCTGCAAGTTATTTGTGTGCTTTTCTTATACCCTCCTCTTATCCTTTACATATTGGTATTTTAAGAATTATCAGTATTCTGTCTTTAACCCCCTACTGTTTTCATTCTATAAACTTTCCCTGGTGGTCTCATCTACTCCCACCATTTCAAGTACTCCCTCAGTGAAACTCAACCTTTTTACCCAATAGTTTCCCCATACTCATTGCAGAAAATACCAAAATGGCTTTTGAATCTCCAGGAGCTACCTGTTTACACTCCACAGGAAGTAGAAGGAAAAAGGCATCCAAATAATCGCCTCTGTTGATAGTTTGAAGTTATATTGCATAACCATACCTTTTGGCAAAAGACACCTGAACACATAGACCTTGGCTGGGAAGACACTGCTTAGCAACACTACCAAAAGGAAGGGGCAGCCACACTTTT